CTTACAGACAGCCGACTAGATATAGAGAGTTATGCAGGGTTATTATTTACGTTGCAAGGTCACATGGAGTAAACAAACTTAAAAAAAAATAAAAATACTCTTTACAGGCAATGAGGTGAGTATGTTGCGGCTAAGGTTCAGTGTTTCGAGTTGGGTCCACTGGTCGATGCAGAGCGACAGTTCCGATATCTGATTGCTACTTAAGTTGAGTCTTTTCAGACTGCCCAGTGAATAGAGACACTCTGGTACCCGAGTCAGGTCGTTACAAGACAGATCAACATCTGTAGACAGAGGGAAGAAATTGTGATATAACCGTTGAGAGTATTTGATTCAGTAGTAATGCAGCTATGAAATTTTTCTGGGTCACAACTAAGTGGCCATTGAAAAACAATGTTGTGTGCACACGCGCGTGTGCATTACCTGCTAAATTCATTAAACCCTCCAAGCTTGTGGGCATGTTGCTCTGTGTTCTCTGAGTGTTCCTCAGGTGGAGAGTTTGTAGCGCCACCATGGCAGGCAGCTGGCTGCTCACGCAAAATTACACAGAATCCAAAAAAAAGGAGGTCTTATCATACAAGTACTCGCACGATAAATGACCAGTAAGACAGAGGTTGAGCCTTCTTACCGCAACTGCGCATGCATCAGCGGGTTGTTGTTAAGGATGAGGGTCTGTAAATGAACCAGGCGTCTCATCTGGGGTGGCAGGCTGTCCAGCTTGTTGTCACTCAGGTCCAGATACAGCAGGTCTGTCAGGTTGATGAACAGCTGGTTGGGGATTGAGTCGATGCCGTTGTGGCTCAGGTTGAGGACTAGCATGTTCCTGCTGTTCTCCAGGTCTCTGGGGACCTCTGTCAGCTGGTTGTAGCTCAGGTCCTATACGTTATTAGAATGGGGGTTGAAGTCAGTCACATCATCCGTACACTGGCGTTTGTATTGAGGATGCGGTTAAGGCCGGCTGCGCACCAGGCAACACCGCCGAACGTGACTAAACGTTCGGCCATGTTGCTGGCCGTGCCGTGTGGCGGGCCCGAGACAAAAGCAGAAAATCGTGTACCAGCACAGAGAGGTCATCGAGTTGAAAGATGTCATCTGGGACTCCTGAGTTTTTTAGGTTGTTGGCACGGGCAACCACAGCCTGCACAAAAAGAAAGAAATATTTATACCACATTGAATCACAAGTTTCGATAAGTTAAGGAAGGATGGTAATCAGGCATGGAACCACTGTAAACTTAAGTTCAATGTCACAGATTGGGATTCAGAATGTCAAGACAATTTTCTGAACAAATATACTTCAGTCGTAAAAATGTCAGAGGTCAAACCGCATCGTACCTGAAGTATCTGAAATTTCAGAAAATCTCACAAGACTTCCACTCGCTGGGTATTCAAAGGATGAATTCCCTAAGTGTATTTTTTTGCAATTTTGGTCTTTTGTGTGAGACACCAGAATCCCAGCAAGAGCAGGCGAGTGTGATGAACTGCTAATGGAAAAGCTATCCGCTCTCCTTTATCGTGGCAATGGGTTCTTAATAAAAGAGGAACGGAACGTACGGCGCCGAGTCAGCAGAGTTCAGTCTTTATGTGACAAGAAAAAGCAGTAATTCTCTCTTTCTCTCTCTCTCTCTCTCTCTCTCTCTCTCTCTCTCTCTCTCTCTCTCTCTCTGTGTTAAAAAGTGTGATGCAAATCCCATTATACAGAGGTTAATAACCCTGGAACAGATTTCAATGACACAAAATAGTTTCCAGTGTCCCACAACAGATTTGGATTGTTTTCAAAGCTTCCGCTGTGTATGTGTTAATCACCCTCAGGTTTGGCAAACTGGAGAGCTCCCCGTGCAAGGTGGTCAAACTGTTGTGGCTGACTGAAAGATGCTCCTGAGGGAAGACAACAAAAAGATAAAAGTCAGCAATTCAATCATTTCCAATTGAAACAAAAAAATACAAAAAAAAACCACCATCCTAAATAATTTATCATCACATTTTTTTCCATGCTAATTGTATTCCAAAAAGGCAGCGAGATATCAGAATGACATCAGCACATGGGTGGCTGCACCCTTCAGTAAAATGGAATATCCCTTCATCAAAATGCATAGCCATGCAGAAATATGACAACACACCTCTGTTGCACAGAAAAAAAAAAACTGTTCATAAATCAAAGGGATTTTGACACTCCATTCAGCATGACCAGCTGAACAGGACAGAAAAATATGTGACCACAAGCTGTTGCTCAACAAGCAGTGACTTCTCATTGTGAAAACAAAGTAATCTCGTGTACCAATAAAATGGAAAATCAAACAAATTTGGATTCGAGGCCACACTAATCCTATCAGAGGAATTTGGTTTTTTTAAAAGAGAAATAGATGAAGTTTCCACAAAGCAGTCTACTGATGCAATCTCTTCTTGTTAACCTCCAAGGCCCCAATTCATTTCCAAACAAGTGTGTTTTGTTGCAACGATATTACGCAATGACCCATGACACATTATAGCTGACAAGCATGCTGGTATCACAGTAGAAAACGCTGATTTAATAATAAGCCATTCTAACATACTCTCCTCCACAAATATGTTTTCAGTTCAGACGAAAAATGCCTTCACAAACTCCTCTTTGCTATGTTAAGAATATCCAACCCGTGCAATTAACAGGTGCCACGCACAGAAGTAAACAACAATGCGGTTCTTACCAACTTCTGCAGAGAGGAGAGCTCCTCTGGAAGGTAACACAGTCCCGTCCGGTTCAATTTGAGCCATCGCAGGCTACTCATGCATTTGACATGCTCGGGGAAATATCCTCCCTGAAAGTTACAGAAGAACGAAAATGAAATATTGAATTAACCCCTGAAGACATCATAATATGATGTTGCCGACCTGGCAACAAATAAGTACACGTGGTCTAAATTCAGCTTCATTTTAACCTGGGTCGAAAAAAACCCAACCCAACAACAACAACGCAATGTGTGGGTTGTATTGAAGTTGAATATGGCATTACTGTTCATCGATACGATATTATCGCCAGTGGCATGAAAGTGAATTCCAATAGGTGTAATAAACACAGTTGTTACACATACATTAAAAAAACGATGCATAAATAACAGCTCTCAGTGCCGCCAAACTATGAAGGCACGGTTAATAAATTCACAAACTCAAATAATCCACTTTATTATTCTAAAATTGATTCCGCTGATCAAGTTTGCCCATTTGTTGGTGAACGGGTTGTGGAATTTAGGAGCGTGTTCAATCGCACTCTCCATACGCTAAAAATAGGAGGGTTAATAAGACGACAATCGCATTTTGCACGTAGTTCCGTCGCAACAGTTTAAGACTCATTTGACTGCACTGTCTCGTGTCAATATATCAGATCACTGGCTAACGCCCAGCTAATAGCGTAAAGCTAAGATCGTGTTCTTGCTGGCCAATCGTTTGGGGTTCCGTTCACCTGGATCGCCTTTCGACAATTTGATGAACAGTCAGACAACCATAATAACTAGGCACATAGGGTTTGAAATCCTTACTTTAAAGTCGTTTCCGCTGAGGTCCACCCCTCGTATAAAGGGAAGCACTCCGGTGGCAGCCATTTCTGCAGAGTGATGTCAGCCGTAGCCAAGTTATTTTGGTGCAACTGAGTTGGCTGAGCTCACCAACTGCGCTTCTTCTTCCTTCTCCTCTTCTTCCCCTTTTCCAATTATAAAGGTGGAAAGTAGGCGTCAGGCACACATTACCGCCACCTTTCGTTTCATAATCTATCTTGTATATACAGTACAGCTGTCTGCTGTACTGTATTAGCAGACAGCGCCCCCCAGTGTAGAAAACAAGAAACTGCCTTTTAGCCATAATTCCTTTTATTTTGACAGCATCAAAAGCGGAAATGGTTGTTTTACATCCTATTCAAAGGCCCTCCCATTCAGCGGTGACTCGAAAGATTTCAATCATCGGAGACAGCTACAGCTAAACAAACCTTTTTACAGGAGGTTTCGCTATGGACAAGAATTCTGCAAGATATAATGTACAGTTATATATTTATGATCTTTCTCGGGGAATGGCACGCAGCCTCAGTCCTATCATGCTTGGTGAGTACAGACCACCGATGAGATGTTGCCCCCCCGGCCTCACTAGCATCATACAGTCGGCTTTCTGTCGCAACTTGTCTTTTTTTAAGCACGGCTATCAACGTCTAATCTCTTGTGTAAATAACGCGTCAAAATTGATGCATGTTGCTATGCCATAATTGTTATTTTTGTGAGGGTTGAATGCACAAATGTAATAAAAAGTGCTTTCTTTTGATATTTTCGAGCCGCTTTTTTTGAATACTTTTGTGCCACCGCCTTCAGTTTCTAACGCCTTTTTATTTTTGACAGGAAAGCAATTGGATGGCATATGGTAAGAAAGCAAATTCTATTAATTCGTGTAGCTACGTAAAACGCTTAGTCATTTCAAGTTTGCTTGACAGCTACTGTGGTGCTGGGCCCCTTAGCAGCTGTACACTTTTCGTAACACATTGGGTTACATCAGCTTCTGATGGTGTTAATATGTGTTCTAAGAAAATCAAGAAAGAAATTATTCTAGCCCATTCTAGAATATTACTGCCCTACACAGCATGTTATTCTTCTCTAGGCACACAGCCATCGTGGCATATGGAGATGAGTTCTTTTTCGGAGGAGAAGGAATCTCCAGCTGTTCACCTGTAAGTCCATTTTACTGTACAGTGTATCTTTTTACATTTACAATATTACCTTGTTATGCCTTGTACAGTCAATAAAAAACATTGTGGGTTTCCTTTAAGAAGATATTGCTCCTGATAGAACTCCTTAAATAACCATTTGATTAGTTTATTGTGCATTTAATGCGGCCGTCAGAACACTGGTGCTTTGGGATTGAAAATAATACTTTGTTGGCACTATTATAATAATATTCAATGTTCTGGGTTCAAGATAAGTAGGACTAAACAAACACATTTTATTACATACACAAATACGTAGAAAAGTAAATGATAAAAGTACTGTACTTAAAATGAGCAACTATATCCTGAGGAAAACAAAGAGGCGCTTGTCGAAAAGCAGCTTTATCTTCACGTGGGCGAGTGAAGACAGACAGATTTCTGTTCATTTTCAATGCGCTACAATCATGTTTCATTCAATACGTTTCCCTAAATTATTAATACAACATTTCCCCTGTGGCTTAGATTTTTGCCATATTAAAAGTGATCGGTTTGTTTCAGATCTGGCAAGCTAAACGGGATTCTTTGTGTGCGCTTTCCAGGGTGGAACGATGCTGGGACCCCCAGACACAGTTGTGGAACTCGGTGAGACCGAAGTTTCAGAGGAGATCTTCATGGAATATCTCTCATCCTTGGGAGAAAGCACTTACAGGTTTCTGTTAAAACTTATTCACACAATTTATAATTATTTTTCACACAGTAATCCAAACAGCGGGTGGCACGGTGTTGGACGGGTTAACAGAGTGCAGGGTTTGATTCCGGCCGCGGCCTTCCTCTTTTTTGTTTTTCAGAGGTGACAGGTATCGATTGTTTGAGCACAACTGCAACACGTTCACCAACGAGGTTGCTCAGTTCCTAACGGGCATGCCCATCCCCTCCTACATCACTGACCTCCCGTCCGAAGTCCTCGCCACGTGAGTTTCACCCCGCCCATGCAACTGGAGTAACTGTCTGAGAATTATGTTTCTTATTCTTTTCCTTTATTTAACTTTCCTTAAAAAAAGTCATTGAAATTAAAATCTCCTTTTGAAGAGGGAATTGATCGAGAGGGCATTGTTTTACCAAACCAAAAAATATATACCGGTATATATAATTTTAGATGTGCAAATTTTGAGAGATGTCTCATAAAAACCTCATTTTATTTATTTATTTATTTTTTTTAGCTTCAAGATAAAGGCCTTTTGGAAATTTATAGCAAGTGAATGAGGTTTATATGAATGTGACAACCCTTTTTTATAATCAATCCCCCCTTCCGCCATGTAAGGCACATTGTGCAAGGTTTCCGTTGAGGGCACTCATCCAAACTGCTTTCATCTCCAGACCGTTTGGCCAGATATTGCGGCCCATTCTGGACTCCATCCACATCGCGCCCCCCGGCGGCAACGTCATCAACGGCGGGAGGAACATCTAAACTGATGGGGCAACGCATTCGTAGGCTCACTTCCATTGGAGTCAGTCAACAAGGAGTCAACAATTACGCCCCCACCCATCAACAAGCATCGCCAGATCCCGGTCTTTGGAATCACAACCTGGTGCCATACGCCTTTGGAAAACAAGACGATATTAAGCCTTCAGGTGAAAGGCGGCAACATAGATTTTTTTTTTTTTTTTTAAACGTTGCACTTACCAAAACATGAGGCACACCTGCACAATCTGTTCGGATCCAACACAAGGATTGTATTCAACATTCTTCATTGTCAGAAAGATAAGAATTTGAAAAATGTTATTGTGCGTATAGTTGGCCAGAGTGAAGAACTGCACTGCATCATACCGAGGGCACTGTTTCTAATAGTTTAGGTGTGTCTGAAAAGTCCCAGGACTGCTATCACAGAAGCTTTAGTTCAAATCCAAACTACTAGTTGTCCCTTCAAAGTAGGGAAGTTGAATGCAATCTCACTGCCTTCTGTGCCATGCCGTTGTGCGCTCCACTCCACGTTGATGTCATCCATGTCTTTACCCTTTAGCGAGTGAAAGTGGGGTGGAAGAAAAGCCAATCACACAGAGCCAGGTCGGGTACAGTTGGGAAGTTGCTCCACCACGGCAACGCTTTACACAGCCAGGAACTGTCGGATTCTTAGGGCGTTGCGAACAGGCCCGTTGTCGTGTTGAAGGAGCCTCGAGTTGTCTGTGATGAATTTTCTGGCCCAGGTTCGGAGGGGGAAACTCAAAAGTTTGGTATTTTGAACTTTACGGACACGGCGCGTATTTACAGTACTTGTATGGGTCTCCATAGGTTGTGTAGGTGTGCCGACTGAGACCAGTCGTCGTGTAGCCTCATATGTTATTCTTTTAAACCGTAAAACCGACTCACTGCTCGTTCCGAATGACTTGGATTTCATCGGTGCAACTTTGGACCAGACAAGTCCAACATTTTCGAAGCAACGCGATTCATATGGCGGCGGAGTTGTGAGACTTCTGCTGCTGACTTCAATGGAGCGCATTTATTTCAGAGACATCTTTAATATATAGTTTTGGGATCATAAATGTTCAGTCTTGAGTCTTTTATTGTCGCTTATTTAATGTATACCGGTAATCTTTTCTTTGGTAAATGTCCACCGCAGACCCTTTTTGCACCGTTTGATTCAACCCGGCATTTGCCGCCTCCTTCTGCTATCCATTCCATTTGTGGCTCTCTTGTTTTACAATGTAAGCGTATGATTGAATCTGCAGCCACTGCAGTTTTGGAACCGGTAAATACAACCCACGCTGAAGCTATAAAAACCCTTTTTTTGCTCAGTAGTTAGTTTTCAAGCTCCAATAAGGTGATCAAAACCCTTCTTTGTACACCAGAAGTGTGCGCATGTGTGATACTCCAAATCTGTGCCTTCATTTCCCTCTGCTGAATAACTTGACATGTCTTAGCACCTTTTTTTTTTCTTGAATGCACTAACTCAACTGTAGGTTTCTTCATGCTCACCGGTAGAAACCCTGCGAAAACTGCAATACTCGGCCTATCATCCCAGTGCCCACGCATCTCTGATGCCACCGGAGAATTTGAGAGAACGCTTAATTTCTGGAGAACAAACGATTGACATGCAAGTTAGGAAGCGAGTGTGAGGTGAGATGACACCGTGTAAGCAAAGTGAAGGATCACCTAAAAACCAGCACTAAGCCTCTTGAAGAAGTTAAAAGAAACTCATTTGACCTTTGATGCTAGCCGTCAACATTTTGCCACCTGGACTTTTGTTTATGCCTCATCACACAAAACATTTTCTCGTGAAATGGGCCCTTGTTGCTACCCAAGTAACTGACATCACCTGACCACTGAAATGTATTAATGAACAAATCTTTTTGTTGTTCTTGTAGCTTATCCTTTTAAGATATTTATAGTTATATACAGTATTTCAACCACGTTATCGCGTATTGTCCCTATTGTTTGTGATTGTTTTTGTTACATGACCTGCTCATAAAGCCATTGTCTATACTTTCTTGTGTCATTTTGGCAATTTTTTTTAATCTTGGGTGTCAACTAACAAAGCAAAAATACTTCGTTGCCGTACTTCAATTGAAATTTGGGGCATTTATACTTGAGTGGAGTAATTATTTTTCAGACTTTATTTGTACTTGCTACGATTGACACACGCACACTTTATTATTTCGTTTTAAATTGCGTTCATTCCAGTTTATCATCGTTCAGATTAACAAGACGAAGGAAATCGAGCTCGGATAGATGGGAGTGATTTTGATTGTGGTTGGATGAGAAGCCTACAGGAAACGGAGAACATTCCGACACACTTCGTCTGTACGTAATGCGTCGCACCAACACGTGGCGCACGTCAACAAATCGATGACAGCTCGCCACACTCAAATTAAGTGCAGCCAAACAGCTTGGTCGGTCAAAATGTTCCGTCTGTCCGTGTCAGCAGCAGCGAGAAAAGACAGCAGACCATCGCACATCCCTTGGAGAAGTCATTCTCCAGATCATCGGCGAGCTCTGCGGAAATCTGACATTGAACCTGTTCATTTGAATCAGGTGTGTTGCAACTTGGAAAACATGCAGGACAGCGGCCCCCCAGGACCTGAGTTTGACACCCCTGTTCTAAAGCAACTCATTTCGTTTGCGCTGCAAACTTGACAAAAATACCGGTGCCAGCAGCTCACGGCTTACAAAAGCTCGCCGACCAACTTGAACAAGCATATTGAGGTAAGATGCGAGGTTATTATCGAGAGGTGTGGCGGGTGTGAGACTTAAGACTTTAGACAAATGTTTTGAGTTTAATGTCTTGCTATATCTAATGCCAAGCAATTATAAACTGGGTTGTGGCAATTATGTTTCGCTATTCATGGCAAAGATTGATTGTCATCCCCTGCTAATCACGATCACTGTGGAATTATATCGTGCAATGGTAACAGCTACAATGCTACCATTTTTATAAACAACAACACGACTATACCGTGAACTACAGATAACGCTGTACTAAATGTTAAACAATTTAAACGTAGGTCAAAATTTAATTCATCTGGTGTCGTTGAAACTTCGAATTGTATTTGAGAGTGTCATAACCGTGCTGTGCAACGGCGGAAGTTTGAAGGTCAAGAACCTGTAATGATAAAATATCTCTGCAGTTCTTCGAGTAACCACAGGGAGGCGGTGTTTCTCTTGTTTTTGAGTTTTAATGCTGTTTCATGCCAGATGGAGTTTGGCTGTATTGTTTGTGCCGCGATTTAAAAGGAACCACTCGGTCAACAGGTCACGCAGCCGCTGGGCCTGCTCATAAATCCCATTTTACTGAAGGTAAAGGCTTCCCCGTGTTGTGCCAGCTGATGCACACCAGACATACAGTAGTTCCCTGGTCTCAGATCTGCTGTAATTTTGTACAACGACCGATCATACAAGCATACTATACAGTAGTGCAATATAATGTCTCCATAGAGGCTTTGCTTTCTAGTGAGTTGAGTCTCCGACCTTTCGGTTCGAATGCCAATGAACTGAGCCTTTGCTGCCCTTGAGATAGAAATGTCACATCGCGTCATTCGATGGTGTAATTCCTCTCAAGGCTTAAAACATCCACGTCACGGTGACCAGAAATGAAGTCCTCGTCCTCTAACATGAATGTTCATAAAAGAATACTGAAGGCGCACTCGCTCGTAGTGCTGAGCTGCTTCAAGAGAAACTTGAGGAATCGTGAGGGACAGAGAAACTGTTTTTCCTGCAGATTAAAAAAAAAAAAAAAAAGTCATTTTACATGTTAAGAATTGCATTGCTTATATTGTACAGAACAGACAGACTGTGTGATAGTAACATAATTTTGTTGACACTTTTCCTTCTGTCACGTCACTACCTTTGCGCTTTTGAGGCGCTTCGCCGTGGAGGTTCCACAATATTCCTTGGTGAGACTTTAACCACGGCAATAAAAACAATTGAAATATGCGCGTTGAAAGGCCCTTTATGGTGAGCGAAAAGGCTTGCAAAGAGATTTTCATTAGGATTTTTTTTTCACTGGCTCTCCCCTTGCAGTGAACTACATCACAAAGACTTGATGCTTCAATTAGCCTTTGATATGCAAAACTAAGTGTTTCATGTACCGTTTTTTTTTTTTTTTTTTTTTTTAGGGTTACCCTGGCACTTTGAGCGTTAATTAATACGCGCCATGCGGCTCTCGGGAACAAAACGCGTCTGGCTCCGTTCAGAGTTCACGTTTTGTGCCATCCACATGAAACGAAAGACGAGAAACGGTGCAAATAAATCCACGTATTGGTTTGTGTCAGCGCATCGAATGAAGCTCGGCGTGGTGCTGGAAAAGGAAGTCATGGCGACTGATGATTATTCTTGCCCAGTCATGCTTGCTCAGATGTATCTGCTGTGGGTGTCACTTGAAATGTGTCAAATGGTTGCAGTCGAGCCTCTGTTCGCAAAAGGCACGATTCATCTCTGGACCCTCGTCCGAGTTTACTTTGTTTCGGTTCTTTCCCTCCGATGGTCTCCCACCTCAGTTCGATTGTCTTCGTGTTCTTTCCACCGAGCACATTTCACAACGCCCTTCCGTGTCTTTTCTTTCATTTGGACCCGCTTCCCGTAGTCTCCGAACTGTACTTTGGATCCCTCCTGCCCGATTTGCTCCGAATTACCCAGAGACCTTTTGCTTGACTGCACCCTTGCTGCGCTTCCCAGGCTTTGTCGCTTCATTTCTCTCTTTCGCCTTCTCAACCGAGACTTTTTTTTTTTCCACCTCTCTCATTTGTCATCATCCATTTTTTTAAGTCGTAATGGCACAAAGCCTTCTTGTAATATTTCTTCTGAAGACAGCATTGGGCACTCATTCATGATTTTTTTTTTTCTGTCATGCTTTGTAGTTTGAACATGACAGTCCAATGTGACACGTTTCCCCTCACGCGGGACGAGATTAGCGCTTAAATAGTCATGGCAAAGTGTTCAATGAGCTGCATCGTACGGTTGCGTCATTTCAAGTTTCGGAGACAAAGTCAAAGTCGTCCTTCGTTTCGTTCCGGTTACAACTTCTTCACCGAGTCCAGGTTCTGTCTCAGCATCTCTTCCGCCAACCTGCTGGGGACAGCCAAGCACCTGGCCGGGTCACCCATTTGGACTCGCTTATGTCAACAGCTGCTGGGACCTCCTTACCCCCCCGTCAAGCCGCTGCCATGACCTTGCATATTAAAAAAACATGGATGCATAAATACAGGGAGAAATGTGAACTGTCCTCGAGACCTTCTGCCGCATCACTCGGCATTCGCTCTTATGTGCCGGAATGCCCTTGGCTCGGCCCATCTGGACGCTGCTGGTGAGGGTGCGCGTGTGCGTCGGCTTGCCTGTGCGTTATTTGTGGGTGTGTGCGTGTGCGCGCATAAGCGAGCATATTTGTGTGTTTTGTATGTGTGGAAAACCACACGACGACTTGAAGCAGCCTGATCAGTTTGAGCTAAGCGGGCAAGCGCCTTATGTTGGCTTTAGTGTAAGCGCCCCCGCAAACTATCCAGCCCGTCTGCAATATTACTTGCATATTTCTGATGACAATATCGGTTATTTCAACATGTGCACATTTCAGGAGTGATTTACGCATTAAAGGGGACATCCGGTATGCAGTATTCATCACTATTTAAGTTCTCTGAGGTTCTTTGGGAAAAACGCACCCGAGGCTAAGGAGAGTAGGCTTGCACTTAAAGATTTACACTTCACCACTTCACAACCTCAGTGATTGGGGGTGGAGCTTGGGCGTTGAGGGCTACTCACTGTTGCCATCCGAACGGCCTGTTTTGAGAGACGTTTTTCACAACTAGACAAAAGATTTACGCGTCGTGTGAATCCATTCCAGTTAACCGCTAGCTAACGCTAGCGAATTGAGTCTGCATGCGCCATCGTAGCAGAACCGTTGAGCAAGGCAGGTTGAGGTCGGGAGAGGTGAAAAGCACACGCTGAGGTGAGGTTGCAGAAATTTGTACGAGACGGTGGAACACTGCCACATCTTGTGGCGTCCGACAGTAAACGGCCAAAACAACATGGCGGTTGTTTACTGGCCGTCACGGGCCAAATTGCGGCAAGAGATGCTTGCGTGTCCTGTTTTTAATGGAGCTCATAGGCATCACATTAAGGCGGCTTCAGCCTTGTTGGCATCGAGGCTATTTTGATTCAGACTGTGATACACTAAAATTAGAACAAGCCTGGAAGCTTTTAAATTCCTCTCGAGCAGCAGAACCATTCCATTTTGTCTCTTTTTTTTTTTTTTTTTTTTCCCCACTGGATGGCACTCGCTCAGGCTTGTGTTTACATCCTGCCTGCATGGACTATTTTGGGGTGCTCTGAATATGAATTCCCGCTGAAAAGACATGACGGCGCAAACCCGAAGTTTCCTCACTTGAAATGGATCAGAAATAAAGACTAGCAGAACCAATCTAATGAACTAGTGCATTTAAGGTCGCGGCGTTATGCTTTCAAGGAGATCAAAACGCAATTACAGGATGGCCTCATTCCCTTTCATAAATGGTTGATTCACACGGTCTAATGATGATCGAAAATATCACTTTTATTCTCAATAGCCCAAATGTTTTTTTTTTTTAAATCCAAGTATTTAAAAATTTTTTTTTTGTTGTTGTCATTTGACAGGTCCTTCTGTGAAATTTAAGACGTTTTAAAGTTAGCAATGCTACCAGGGACTCAGTCACGTGGGAAAAATGCAAGAGTGTAAAAAGAGGAAGATATTCTGTGGCTTTTTTTTCACTTTTAACTGCAACAAAGTTATTTGACTGACTGCTGTCAGTGTAAAAATAGTATAAACAACGATTTGCTTTTCAGAGAGGCAGAGTACAAAAAAAAAAAACCAACAACATGACAGTCAGCATCATATTTTGTCTGTTATTTGTGTGTTTGTTGACTTCATTAGAACGATTGCATTTAAGTATGAAAGATTATTCAGGTGGCTCCAGTCAGCAATATGAAAACAAAAACATGCTAATTGACTGGCCAGTACAGTCATGGAGTTTGAACTTGTTGGACTGTACACGGTCGTGCTTCATACACTCTTTGTCTCTAACTCCAGGTAGTCGACCAAGAAGGATGTGGCAAAACCGATGCAGGCAGCCATGCCTGGTCAGCTAAAAAGCTAGCGTAGCGTCTGTAGCGGAAAGCCTCCCAGCTGATTGATAGTGTTGGATTTGAGGTCGGTCCGGGTGAGCGCCCAACAGGACAGAATGAGTGGCCCTGATACCTGCCGGCCGACTGATTTACTGACTCTGCTTCCCCAAGAGTTCATTTAAAAGAGCACCCGCGTAAAGCCACTCATTATGGACGCGTCCGATAATCTTGGATTTCTGTTGAATTAATGTAGCGCAGGACGTCTGGGCTGAACCGATCCATCAGCTTTATGTGCCGCCTGCTGTCCGGCCCCCATTGCTGATTGTTCCCCTTTAAAACGTGCCTATTGATCGAGCCTTGTCTTCCTTTTATTAAGTAATCACGACTGCGGGTATCTTTTTTTTTTCTTCTCCTTTCTCTCGTGAACCTCTTTGTTGTTCCATTGCAAGATTTTTAATTTCATCCGAATGCATTCATGAACTTTTTTTTTTCTTCCCCCTAACGGTCAAGATGACTGTAGCTTAATCAAGGACACGACCTCTTTGTTGTTCCATTGCAAGATTTTTAATTTCCTCCGAATGCATTCATCAACTTTTTGTTTTCTTTTCTTTCCCCTAACAGTCAAGATGACTGTAGCTTAATCAAGGACACATTTTCTGTGACATTTTCACAGTACTGTAGCGGTGTGAGGGACTATTCATTTCACATAAACAGACTGCTGCTTTAGACCACACGGTGCATATTTCGGCTTCATATTCATCATACCTCGTGATGAGTGATGTCATTTTAATACATTATATGCCATCTGAGAAATGGAGAAAGGCAGAAGAGTGATACAGAATTTTTTTTTTTTTTTTGCTTGAAGAGGGGACGTATGCAGCTTGATCTCGGGCACTTTTTAGATTGCTATGTGTTCCTCCTCAGGAGATCCGCACTTGAAATGAGTTTCGGAAGCGGTGAAAGGCGCTGATTGACAGGAGGCATCCATCTAAAAGTACTCTAAACTCTCTCTCCTCCTCATCTCCTCAACCTTTCCTCCCTTTAACTCACTCACTGTCCAACCTTTTTCAACCGCAGCCCGACCGGTTCTCGCACTCATTCGTATCTTGGTGACCACTTCCCAGTTTGTGATGAAACGCATCAACACGGAGAAGTAGGCTCGCTGCTTTCTGTTCCTTGTACATTTTTGAAAAGTATGATTCTTACTGACTTTTATGATGGAATCGTTGCCGTATAACGGTTATTTTGTTTTGCAGCCCTGTCTATTACTCGAACATTTTTTTTTTTGTTCAAATTTCAACCGGTTTGAGCATGCGGATGTGCAAGAAGCACGGCGAGCTAATTGGCGCCCGCTTGACATTGAACAGTTCAGTGGGCAGCGGCCATGTTTGCTGCGCTGTCAACTCTCCATCAACAACAGGACAAACTGGATTAACCTTCACACTGCTTGTGTCTCACTCTGGTTGCGCCCCCCCCCCCTCCTCAACTCCCTTTTTGCCGCAACACTTGCATATGCCCTTTGGTTCTTGCTGCCTCTTTGGCTTTGAGTGCTTGATGTCGCCTTCTGTTCGTCGTGCGCGTCTCTCATCTTCCTTCCCGCGTCCCCATGCAGCTGGAAATGTCATCCCCCTTCCCTCACACGTCTTTTGTCTTGCCTTTTATTCTTTCGGTATAATCGGGGACGGTCTCATTCATGCCATCATTCTCTTTTTGACAGTGTTTCTTCAGAGGATTGATACACCCCCTTACCTTCCTCCCCCCCCCG